ATTCAAAGATTAGAAATATATACCTGGCCCTGGAATCTGGAATCATGTGCCTCATCATATCTTCAAGAATAGCTTCAACAAAGTACTTAAAAAAATACGAAACAAAATCTTTTTTTTGTTTTTTGATTTCTCAAAAATAAAGAACTAAACAAAATGAAAATCTTTTTGATGTTTTTGATTTTCGAAAAGAAAGAACAAGAACAAAATAAACGAAAGTACTTGTTGCAAACCTATGAAGCTTTAAGATGTGATGAAAAATACCAATCATACGAATTCGAAGCATTCGAAGAGTGACTTATGAACAGTAACCTTATCCGTTGATGACGTATATGTGAATTATTATTATCAAACCTTCATTCTCCTTTCTCGCATGGAATTAAATTACCATCAATCATTCCAAGTCCTTCCAAAATCCTCACAAACGATTTTTCATCCAATGCTTTTGTGAAAATATCATCCAACTGATCAGTTGTTTTCACAAACTGAACTTCAATATTCCCAACCTCTACATGATCTTTTATGAAGTGATAACGAAGAGCAATGTGTTTGGGCTTCGAAATCCGCACAGGATTATGACAAATTCTTATTGCACTTTGTGAATCACAATATAAAGGAATGTTTTTCGTGTAAATTACATAACCACGTAACTGATTTTGAATCCATATTATCTGTGATGTGCAAGCAGCAGCAACAACATATTCAGCTTCGGCCGTTGAGATAGAAACACATGTTTGCTTTTTCGATTTCCAGCTTACTAATTTACCATCAAGAAATTGACAACCACCACTTTTGCTCTTCATGTCAAGATTACATCCTCCCAAAACTGCATCTGAATATGCTTTGAAGAAAGAATCCAGTATTCGAAGGGTACCATAATCCAAAAGTAGATGTTCCTTTGAGATAATGAAATATATTCTTTACAGCAGTGCAATGTGGTTCTCGAGGATTTGATTGATACCTAGAACAGTTACACACAGAAAACATTATATCAGGTCTACTTGTTGTTAAGTAAAGTAAAGATCCAATCATGCTTCTGTATGAAGTAAGATCAACGGCAGGTTTATCTAACAAAGGAGTTAGTTTGATGCCAATTGCCATTGGAACACGTGATTTTGTGCTATTCATCAAGCCAAACTTTTCAAGCAAATTCTTCATGTATTTTTCTTGATTTATGAAAATTCCTTCTCTATTTTGAAGAATGTTTAAACGAAGAAAATAATTAATTTTTCCCATCATGCTCATTTCGAACTTACTCTTCATCAGATCTTCGAATTCTTTAGACAAAACAGGGTTGGTTAAGCCAAAAATAATATCATCAACATAAATTTGAACAAGCATTAGATGATTCCCAACTTTCTTACAAAACAATGTGGGGTCAAATGATCCTTGTTTAAATTCATATTGCTTCAAAAACGAAGTAAGAGTTGCATACCAGGCTCGTGGTGCTTGTTTCAAACCATAAACTACCTTATCTAAGATATAAACATAATCAGGATGTTCTTCGTTCACAAAACCTGGGGGTTGTTCCACATAGACTGTTTCTTCAAGTTCGCCATTAAGAAATGCACACTTCACATCCATTTGATAAACATCAAAGTTTTTGTGACCTGAATAAGCCAAAAATATACGAACAGCCTCGAGACTTGCGACAGGGGAAAAAGTTTCTTCGTAATCAATTCTTTCTTGTTGAGAGTATCCCTTAACAACAAGTCTGGCTTTATTTCGAATGATATTTCCATCTGTGTCAGTTTTATTTTTAAAAATCCACTTTAATCCGACAATTGAAACATTTTCAGGTTTAGGAATTAATCTCCAAACCTTGTTTCTTTCAAATTCAGAAAGCTCAGATTGCATTGTAACAACCCAATCAGAGTGTTCCATTGCAACCTTAACATTCTTTGGTTCAATCTTAGATATAAAAACATTAAACATGCAAAATTATTGATCAGTATTTAATACCTCATTCTTTGCACGAAGCTGAGCTCTTGTCAACACTCCTTCTTGTGGATTTCCAATGATTCGTTCCTTCGGATGACTTTTAGTCCATTTTTCCATTAGAAGATATGCTGGATCAAAATCCAAAGGTGCATCTTCGAACATTTCATCATTTTCTGATCCAGCAACCAAACAAACATCGTTAAGATCCTGAAAATCTTCATCATTTTGAACATGCTCCCCCTCAACAACATCAGCAATTTGCTCATTCTCCCTCTAAAATGAATGCTCCCCCTTGACTAGAGTATTTGAATCCACATGCTCCCCCTCCACTGGATCATTTTGAATACATTTATCTATTTCTTGAGGAGTTGATGTTGATTCATCAGTAAACTTTGCAAGTTCTGGTATGTGATTATCAGGAGCTTGAATCTCAGCATCAACCGCATGATCTGAAATTCCAAAAATCAAATCGTAATCAATATCATTCATTTGTAAAGATTCATTTTCAACTTGAGTTTCTTGTAAAATTGGATGATTTGCAAATGTATGCTCATTTTGTTTAACATAGTAATCATCGAATGTGAGATTGAAAGTTTCTTCCACTTTTCGTGTTCGCTTATTTAACACACGATATGCGACAAGATTATGCGAATATCTAAGAAAAAACCCTTCATCAGCTTTTGCTTGAAATTTCGAAAGATGATCCTTGAGATTCATAATAAAGCACCTACATCCAAAAACATGAAAGAATTTCACATTAGGGTTACGATTATTCATAATTTCGTATGGTGTAATATTAAAACATCTGTGTATGAAAGATCTGTTCTGAGTAAAACATGCAGTGGATATGGCCTTAGCCCAAAGATATTGAGGTAAATTCGCATATGCCAACATGGTTCTTGCTGCTTCGCATAGTGACCGATTTCTTTGTTCAACAACTCCATTTTGTTGCGGAGTATATGGAGAAGAAAAATTATGTGAAATGCCTTTGTCCACCAAAAATAAATCAAGAACATTGTTCTTAAATTCAGTGCCATGATCACTCTTGATTTTGCGTACAATCTTTTTCAATGTTGTTTCCATTTTCTTGATAAAATCAATCATGATTTGTGCCACTTCGAATTTTTTTTCTGAGAAAATAAACCCATGTGAATCTAGAAAAATCATCAAC